GGAGCAAGGAGATCCCAGCACACAGGGATGGCATTGGGAAAACCAGAGCTCATCCAGGACAGGGAGCAGGCAGCCATCAGCATGGGGTCACTCAGATGACAGGGCGGTCACTCCCTGTAGGGATGAGAAGAGATGGTGTCCCATGGGACTGCATTCCCATCCCAACCCTCTGTTCCGGGGGTCTCCCTGCAGAACCCCAGCACAGCCCAGCCCTGGGTCAGAACCACAGAGAGCACAGGGACCCCTTCCAACCCCCAGCCCCACACCGCACCTGTGTCTGAGCCATTGGATCCACCATCCTTTGCTGTAAGGAAAAAACAGCCATGAGCCCCCCCTGCACTCACTATGGGGCATGGAGCAGCCCCAAGCAAAAGGAATGGGAACCCGGGAGAAAGCAGGGGCCCCAGGACCGCCCTGCCACCAGGCAGAGGTGGGGGACAGCTCTGCCCTCATCACTCACCAGAAGCAATGCTGTAGCCCTTCTCTTTCTTCCCTGCACACAGAGAGATGTGTCAGCACAGGTTCACAGCCAGGATAGGGGCTCCTAAGGGAACCTCAGATCCCCCCCACAGCCCCTGCTGTCCTCCTGCACCCATCTGCTTTTACCTGCATGGCTTCTGTAGATGGCGAATCCAACACCAGCCACGATGGCCACAATGGCAACAATCAGCCCCACCACGATGGGGACCAGGTTGGACTCTGACGGCTCTGGAGGAGAGCGGGGTTGTCAGCAGGGGAAGGGGCAGCCCGGAGCCCCCCAGCCCCACAGCACCTCGCTCACCCCACGAGTAGAGGCCGGGCTGCTGCAGGCTGGCATGCTGCACGCGGCACTGGTACTTGTCCCTGTCCTCTGGCCGCACATCGATGGTGACCCAGGTGTGGTAGGTGCCATCGCTGTTGGGCACTACGCCCCCCGTGTGGGTGTCCTGGTGCTGCGCCGCGCCGTCCTTCATCCACTCGACGGCAATGGGCCGCGGGTAGAAGCCGTGAGCGCGGCAGGACAAGGTCAGCACCCCGTCGGCCTCCTTCCCCTGCACTCGCACCTCGGGCCGCTCTGCAGGTGGGCGGCAGTGAGGGCCGGGCTGAGCTCCCCATGCTGAGCCCCCGCCCCACCTCCAGCCCCACACCGCGGCCCCCCCTCACCTCTCCTGCCCAGCTCTGCCTTCCCGTGCTCCACGTATCTCCGCAGCCACTGCACACAGGTTTCCTCCAGGTAATGCTTCAACCCCTCAGAAACGCTCTCATCAACCTCCCATTTCCTCTTGGTGGGAACTGCCTCTGGAACTGCCGCACTGAACGTCCTCGTGTCTTTGTCGAAGGCAATAAAGTCTCTCCCATCATAGGCATACTGATGATACCCCCGGGTGGTGCCGTCCTCAAGAATGTCACAACCGCACATCCGCTGCACTGTGTTAGACCCTGAAACAGAGCCGGGCAGGGGATGAGGGGCCCCTCCGGCTCCGGGGTCCCACTGCAGTGGGGAGGGGTTGGGGTCCCCCGGGACGCGACACCCCGAGCTCGGTGCGGCTGTGACGGGCAGGGCCAGGCCTGCGGGGCGCGGGCGGCACTGCGCCATGGAGCCCCGCCCCGCACCCACGGAGCCGCGGCCCCGGCCGTGCTCACCGCCGCTCTGGTTGAAGCGTTCTTGCAGTGTGTTCAGGCCCACACGGTAAACCCGCTCATTGCTCTGTGCGATCTGTGTGTTCCTCTCCCAGTACCCGGGATCCACAGCTCCAGCTGCCTTCACCCACTCGGTGCGGGGCACGTACCTCCGCGCGGTGCTGTCATAGTGCACGAAGATCTCGCCGTCCACGTACCCCACTTCCACGAACCAGGGCAGCCCGGGGCCGGGATCGTCCATCGTGGTGTGGTAGTACCGCAGGGAGTGTGGCTCTGCGGGGTCGGAGCGCAGCGGGGCCGTGAGCCGCGGGTGGGGGTCCCACGGGCACAGCCCCGGGGTGGGGGTTCGGGGGGGGGGGGGGGGTCCCGGTCCGGCCGCACTCACCGCCCGCCGCCCCGCGCACGGCGCCGAGCAGCAGCAGCCCCAGGCCCAGGGCCCCGCACGGCCCCATCGCTGCGCACCGCTCCGCCTCCTCCAGGTTCTCGGACGCCACTCTGTCCCGCAGTGCGCCCCTATTGGTTCCTCCGCCTCCGCCCCGCCAGTGGCGGACGGGAGCGTGCGTGACGTCACCGGGCGCCAGGCAGAATGCGCTCCCGTGGGTTGGAAATCGAAAGCGAAAGCGCGGAGCGGGGCAGAGGACGGGAGCGGTGTGGGATCCCCCGGCCCACCCCGAACACCGAGCGGGTACCAGGGCTGTGTCCCAAAGGGGCCGTGTCCCTGAGCAGGGGAGGGGGCCGAGGGCTTTAGGGGGGCAGGGGGCGGTGGGAAGGGAAGGAGCCGTCAGTCTGAGCACGGCTGGGGGGCTGCGATGAACCCCCTGGGTGTGGGGTGCATGGAGCGCTTCTTCCAGCACGGAGCCGTTGGACTCGGAGAGGCACAGAGGGCCGAGGAATCCTCTGGGATAACACTCCAACCCTGAGTCAATGGCTCAGTTCAATTTTGTCCCCTGCTTAATTAATGCGTCTCATGACCTATATCCAGGTCACTTATGGAGGCACTGAGCAGAACTGGCCCTGAAACATAGACCCCACAAGCACCCGGTCATCTCCCCATGCACGATGTCACTCATTGTCACCATCATGGGCACGATGACCCCAAACAACCTCTCCCCGGTGACATCAACCAGTCCCAATAAACTCACAGAGACACCAACAGAGGCTGCAGAGTGTCTTTAATGTCAGCACCATGGCTCAGGGTTGGGGATGGGGACACACAGGGACAGTGGGTAACAGAAGATGTCCATCAGATGCTGCCTGCGGGGACATGGGGTGAGAGAGGGGGTCACTATGGGGTGAGAGATGGGGTCCCTCAGCCCTTATTGATGGCAATGGGACAGGGACAGGTTGGGGACACTCACCTGAAGGGTAGTTGTGACCGGGAAGTGGGGTGTAACCTAAAAGTGAGGGGATGGGAGGGATGAGTGGGGCTCTTGTCACACATGGTCACATCCCATAGAGACTCATATGACCCACAGAGAACACATAGAGATCCATAGGGACACATAGAGACCAGTAGAGACCTCACAGAGGCCAATAGAGAGACCCACAGAGGCCCCACAGCAACCCATAGGGATCAACAGAGACCCCACAGGGACCCATAGAGAATAAAACATCCACAGCAACCCACAGGGACCCATAGGAACCCCACTGAGACCCCTTAGAGGTCCGTGGAGCCCCTCAGGGGCTCCCAAGCACCCACCTGGGGCAGGGGGCTGGGCCCGCCAGCAGTAGACACCAGTGAGAAGCACGCTGAGCCCCAGCACCATTGTGACAGTGGCCACAGCCACCATCAGAGTCACCTCTAGTGTCAGCCCAGGACCTGCAGGGACACAGCCAGCAGTGACACAGCAAGGACACCGCTGTCCCCGTGTCACCCCGTCGACCCCAACTCACGCCAGTCCTCCAGGAGGGGCTCCTCCAGGCTGGCGTGCTGCACTGAGCACGTGTAGGTGTCCCCCAGCTCCGGGGCCACTGAAAGGGCCGCTTGTGTCTGGTAGGTCCAGTTCCCATTGGGGATGGCGGACACGGGCGAGTGGTCTCCGGGCCCCATGATGTCCCCGTTGTGCAGCCAGATGATGGTCACCTCGGGGGGGTAGAAGCCCCACACGTGGCAGGTGAGGCGGATGGGCACGCTGGGGTTCCATGTCTGTGCAGGGACGATGCGGACCTGGGGCTGGGCTGGAGCAGGGACAGGGACGGTGAGCAGCAGGGGACGGTGAGCAGCAGGAGGCCTGGACGGCCCCCGCCCCATTCTCTGCAATGCTTCCTCTGTGCAACGCCCCACGCAACGCACTGTGCAACTTCCCCATCTCACTCCCCTGTAAGATTCCCCATGCAATGCTCTGTGCCACATCCCCACGGGACGTCCCCACGCTCTGTGCAAGCTCTGTGCTTTGTCTGCTGCAATACCTCGTGGGACGTCCTCTGCAACAGCTGGGAGATGCCCGGTGCATTCCTCTGTGCAGCGCACAATGTGCAATGCAATGTGCTCTGCAAAACTACCCTACAGTGCGCCATGCAACATCCCTGTGCAGCAAACTCCATGCAACACGCCGAGCAATATTCTGTGCAATTTTTCCTTGCAGCATCCCCATGCTTGGGACCCTTAAGCAATGCCCCATGCAGAATGTTCAGCAAAGCCCCCGTGCAATCCTCCATACAACATCCCTCTGCATTATGCTTTGCAGCACCCCTGTGCAGTCTTCCATATGTGCTTTGCAACACCCCTGTGCAATTCTCCGTGAAACTTTTCCATGCAACACCCCCCTGCCTGAGAACCCCAAGCAACACTCAATACACCACCCCCATGTGGTGCCCCATGCAATGTCCCCATGCAACAACATCCCCGTGCAACACCCCATGCATCATTGCTATGCATCATTGCTATACAACATCCTCATGCAACGTCCCCATGCAACGCCCCATGCAACACCACCTCCATGCAACACCCCGTGCAGCCCCATTTGCAATGCTCACTCCTCCGCAGCGCTGTCTGTGCCCAGAACCGTGCAGCCACTTTGCTGCACGCCCGTCTCCGCGCCTCTGCGCGCTGCACCCAGGTGCTGCCGTTGTTGAGGGCACTGGCAATCCGTCCGGCCACGTTGTGCAGCAGCCTCCAATCGCAGGCGTTGAAGCGGCGGACGTCGGGGTCGTAGCACACCAGGGGGTTCTTGTTGAAGGCCACGGTGAGGTCAAAGCCCAGCAGAGAGCCATTGGCTGCCAGCGGGCAGGAGCTGGCCACGTGCACCATAAAGGCACCTGAATTGAGGGGACAGTGGGGAGGTGGCAGTGCTGGCAGTGACCCCATCCCCATTTGGAGCCCTCCAGAGGTCCCCGTGGGGACACAACAGTGAGCTGAGCTCAACACAGGGATCCCATGAGATCCCTAAAGCCTTTGCTGGGAGTCCTAAGGGTTGAGACTCCCCAAAGTGGCTCCAGTATCCCACAAAGCTGAGCTCCCCACAAAGTGCCCCCACCATCCCATAAGGCCGAGCATTCCCAAATCATCCCTAGTAACCCAAAAGGCTGAGGCCCCCCATCACCCCAAAATCCTCCCATGAGTACCAAAGCCCTGAGATCCCCCAAATTGTCCCCAATATCCCTCAGAGCTGAGTCCCCCTCCAAACTGTGCACAACATCCCATAAAGTTGAGACCCTCCCCCCAAAAGGACGCCATTATCCCAAAAGGCTCAGCCTGCCCTAAAGCCCCCCTGGGGGTCCTGAGGGCTGAGAGCACCCCAAAGTGGCCCCAATATCCCAAAAGCTGAGACTCCCACAAATCATCCCCAAAGTCTTAAAAGGCTGAGATCCCCAATGCCCCCCCCCCAACCACCCCAACCCCCAACCCCCACCTGCCCCCCGCGCTCCCAGCAGCAGCCCCAGCAGCACCAACATCGCGGAGGGGGGAGCGGGAGGGGTTGGGGGGGCGGCGGCCCCTCCCCTCCCTCCACCCCACGTAGCCCCCTTCACGGATGTGGGGCGGGGGGGGGGGGGGGGGGGGGCCCGGCCCCCCAAAAAAGAAAGGGGGGGGCGGGAGCGGGTACCGGTGCCGGGGTTAAATGAAGCGGGGGGGCCGGGAGAGGGACCATGCGGGGGGGTTTTTTTTTTTTTTGCACTGGGAGCACTGGGATCCCCACCCACACAACGTGGGAACGAGAATTAGACCGAGGCTGGGGTTGCAGATGGTTTTATTGGGGGGTGAGAACCCCTCACCCCAAATTGGGGGTCCCCATGCTGGGACATGGGAGTTCCGGTCATTGAGGTCCCAAACTGGGGAACAGGACCAGGATGGGGACCACGACTGGGACTGGCATCGGGATGGGAACCGGGACCAGGGTCAGGGATAGGGACCAGGAGTAGAGCCAGGACCGGGACCAGCACTGGAATGGGGACCAGGACCGGGGTGAGGATCAGAAGCAGAATGAGGACCAGCACTGGGATGGGGACCAGGACCGGGGTGGGGGTCAGAAGCAGAATGAGGACCAGGACCAGGACTAGGACCAGAACCAGAATGAGGACCAGGACCAGGATGGGGACCAGAACCAGAATGAGGACCAGGACCGGGATGGGGACCAGAACTTGGGCGGGGATCATTTTGAGGACCAGGACTGGAATCAGAACCCGCATCAGGATGGGGACTGGAACCAGCACCAGGACCTGCCGCACAGAAGATGATGAATGAGGAGGGACACCCCACGCTGGACAACAGATCCTTGGTGTCACACACATCCCCAGCACCGTGTCCCCATCCCTCACCCCATGGCCGCTGACAGAAGCTGAAAACCCCAGCGCTGAATGCCACCAACCCCAAGGTCAGCGCCATGGCCGCCACTGCCACCTGCGCCATCATTCCCAGAGACAAATTGGGACCTGTGGGAACAGCAGAATGAGTCATGGGGGACTGTGGGGGCCGGGTGCCACATCCCCGTCCCCAAACTCACTCCAGTCCACCTGCAGCGGCTGCTCCAGGCTGGAGTGCCACACTGAGCACGTGTAGGTGCTCCCCGCCGCAGTGCTGGCCCTCAGCGTCGTCTGTGTCCTGTAGGTCCAGTTGCCGTTGGGCAGCAGTTCGGTGTCATCCGAGGCCAACACGAGGCCGTTTTGCAGCCACTGGATGGTCACTGCGGGTGGGAAGAAGCCCCAGACGTGGCAGATGAGGCGGACAGTGTCGGGGTCGTTGGCGATGCGGATGGGGACGATGCGGACCTGGGGTGGTGCTGCAGCAAAGGGGGGACGGTCAGAGCTGGGGACGGTCCCCTCTGTCACCCTGCAGGGTGGCTGGTGGGACAGTCCATGCGATGTCCCCGTGCGTCGTGCAGGTGCATCACCCTATGCCACATCCCCATGCAACGTCCCAGCGCAATCTCCTGCTCAATTTGTTTGCAATGTCCCCACGCAACGTCCCTTTGCGTTCCCTTTGGGTGTCCCCATGCAACGCCCCCTAGAACGTCCTGTGCCATGTCCCCTTTGTGACGCCCCTTTGCATTTCCCTGTGCAAAGTCCCTCTCAATTCCGCATGCAATGACCCCATGCTGCATTCTGTGCTTTCCCCATGCAAATTTCTCGTGTGCATCCCCTGCAATGCTCGGTGCAAAGTCCCCATGCAACGTCCCTTTGCAATCTCCCACTCCATTGCTTTGGAATGTCCCCAGGCAAAGTCCCATTCAACCCCCTGCATGATGTCTCCATGCAATTCCCTTTGCAACATCCCCGTGCAGCGCCCCCTGCAATGCCCAGCTGTGCATCACCCTGTTGCAACACCCCCATGCAACAACTCCTTGCAATGCCCCCCGTTTGCAACGCTCCACTTGCATGCAGCAGTGCTCACTCCTCCGCAGTGCTGTCTGTGCCCAGAACTGTGCAGACAGCTCAGTGCACGCCTGTCTGCGCGCCTCTGCACGCTGCACCCACGTGGCATTATCATTTAGGATGAAGGCGACAAAAGTGGCAAAGTTGTGCAGCAGCCCCCCGTCACAGGGGTAGAAGATGTGGGTGTCGGGGTCGTAGCACACCAGGGGGTTCTTGTTGAAGGCCACGGTGAGGTCAAAGCCCCCCAGGGAGCCGTTGGCTGTCAGCGGGCAGGAGCTGGCCACGTGCACCACGAAGGCGCCTGTGTTGGGGGCACGGGGTGGGCACAGCGCTGGGGCTGCACCCCAAAGCCCCGGCTGCACCCTAAAACCCCATGCTGCGCCCCAAAAACCTCACGTCGTACCCTGAAAGCTCATAGTGCACCCCAGAAATCCCACGTTGTACCCTAAAAACTCACACTGTGCCCCAAGAACCCCACATTGTGCACTATGAATACATGCAGCAGCCCATGCTGCACTCCAAAGCCCCACACTGTACCCTAAAACCCCATGTTGCACCCTAAAAACTCACACTGCTCCCCCAAACCCACGTTGCACCCCAAAAACCCCATTTTGCACCCAAAAAACTCATGCTGCACCCCCAAACCCCCCATGCTTCACCCCCAAACCCACACGTTGCACTTCGGAAAGCCCATGCTGTGCCCTAAAACCCCCCATGCTTCACCCCAAAAACCCCACACTGCCCCACGTCCTACCTGCTGCCCCGCAGCTCAGCGCCAGCCCCATCGCCCCCAGCACCCCGAAACCCGTCGGCCCCATGGTGAGCATTGCAGCCTTCTTCCCCCCCGTCCTTCCTCCTTCTTCTCTTCCTCCCCACATCACCCCATGGGCGGTGCAGTGGGATCAGACTTTGCTACCTGGGGACAACGCCCAACCCTGTTAATTACCACCCTTCCCGGAGCGGAGACAAACGAAGACACGGCGCTGCAAACGAAGGGCTTTAATTACATCACTGCCACCGTTCCCAAGCCGAGGGAGCAACTCGTGGAGGATACCAATGAGTACGGGGTCGATGTCCCCACTGTCCCCGCTGTCCCCACATCCTATGCCGGCGGGCGGACAGCAGCAGCCCCAAACCCAGCAGTGCCAGCAGGACGCCCAGCGCCGTCACCGCACCGCACACCGCCATGGCCAACGTGTCCGAAGGGATGGGGTCCTGCGGCACTGCGGGGACACAAAGCATTGCTCCCACTGCCCACACCCCAATCGGCCCCGCTGCGGGGACACAAAGCATCGCCCCACGTCCCCACTCACCCCAATAAGCCACCACAGAGATGTTGTCCCTCTCGCGGGTGACAATGCAGGAGTAGATGTCACCAGAGTGAGGCGTCACCTCCAGGTAGGAGAAGCGCATGAAGCTCAGGTCCTCCATGGGGATGTAGGTGAGCTGGGTGACGCCGTCGGTGATGGGGATGCCGTCCCGCTGCCAGCTGATGGTGATGGCCGGGGGGAAGATGTTGCCCACCATACAGACCAGTGTGTTGGGATAGCCCAGCTGCAACGGCTGCTGCAGGAAGACGTCAGCCACTGGGATGCCTGCAGGGGGACACATCCATGGGAACACATCAATGGGGATGCATTAATGGGGGATGCATCAGTGGGGACAGCATCATACTGGGGAAACATCATTGGGGATGCACCACTGGGGATAGCATCAGCTGGGGGTACATCAGGGAAGTTGTATTGTTGGGGACACGTCACTGGGGACAGCATGGACTGGGGACACATCAGTGAGGACACATCATTGGGGACAACAGCGATTGGGACGTCCATTGGAGGCAGCATCAATGGGGACAGCATGACAGGGGCTAACATCAATGGGGATGTCCACTGGGGGATGCATCAGTGGGGATGGTATCAGCGGGGATGTCCATGCGGAATAAATCAACGGGGACAGGATCAACTGGGGATGCATCCACTGGGACAGGATCAGTGGGGTCAGCATCAATTGGGGATGTCCACTGGGAACACATCAGCAGGAATGAATGAATCAAGACAACTTCAACAAGGACTTCACCAGTTGGGGATGTCAACTGGGGACAGCATCACTGGGAACAGGATCAACTGGGGATGTCCACTGAGAACACATCAATGGGGATGGCGTCAGTAGGGACGGCCATGGGGGACGCATCAATGGGGCTGCATCAACTGGGGATGTCCACTGGGGTCAGCATCATCGGGAACGCATGGCTGGGGACCCGTCGGCAGGGTCATAGCGGGGACAGCAGCACCCACCCTTGGCTTCAGGCATTGGCAGCTCAGTGGCAATCTTGGTGAGCACGTCATGCAGCCTGAGGCACAGCGTGGTGTCGTGCTCCAGCTCCTGGGGCTGCTCGGTGCCTGTGGGCCACGCGGGGCCATCGGGGAGCTGCGGCAGCCACTGCGAGCTGGGGACATCGAATGAGAAGAGCTGCTCCGAGTCGAAGGCCACCGACAGCCCCAGCGACGGCGTGTCCGGCTGGCAGAAGAGCACCTCGGACAGGGTGTGCAGCGATGGCTCTGCGGGCACAGACAGGGCGTGGGACATGGGGACAGCAGGCACACACACACACTGTGCACAGACACGTCTGCTGCAGGCACGCTCACTGCATGTGTACACACTGCATGCTGAGTGCAGCTCAACTCATGCACACTTACGCTTCCTCTTGCACCGATGCACCAACAATGCCTCGCACAACCTCTGCGCTAATTAGCGTGTGCATCCTCCTGCTCACATACTCCGCACTAATGCGCAAAGCACTCCATACACAGCCCCTTGCACCGGTGCACGGCCACTCCTTGCACTAATGCACAGAGCCTCTTGCACAAATGTACGCCTGTTTGCACTCCTCCCTTGCACTAAAGCACAACGCATTCCTTGCACAGTCTCTTGAACCAGTAGTGCACGACACCCCTTTCACTCCATTTCTCACACTCAACCCCTAATGCACTAACCACACCATGCACAGCCCCCTGCATGCGCGCAAGCACCCTCCTGCTCATCCTCCCCTTGCATCAATGCGCAAACACCCCTTGCACAACTCCTTGCACCGGTGCATGCCCACCCTGTACCCCAGAGCACGATCCACTCCTTGCACAGCCCCTTGCGCTCCCCATACACGCATCTTGGACACCCCTGGCACTACCCCATGCCCACCCCATGCCCCCACTTCTCCCTACCGGCTCTGACGCTCCCCAGGGCCGCCCCCAGCAGCGCTGCCACGAGCGCCCCGCGCCCGCTCGCAGCCCCCATCCCTCAGCTACCGGCAATCACTTCAGCCAATGGCCGTGCCTCGCGGCTCTACGCGTCAGTGGTTGCCAGGAAGAACAAGCCCGTAGGACACCCTTGCGCGTCATCGGTTGCTAGGCAGAACAGATCCACGGGGAACACCGGCGCTGTGACAGGCGGCGATCGTGCGGCTCAACCAATGGCTGCGCTCCGCAATTACCTTGCGTCACTTGTTGCTAGGTAGAAGAAACTAGCGGGGAGCCCCGACGCTGTAATAGGCGCTGAACCACCCGCTAGCAATTAGTAAGCATTGCTAATTAATGAAGGAGGGGACAAGTGGGCTGCGCAGATCGCAGGGTGCCTCATCACAGCGCGGATGTTGCTTTTGCGAGGGATTTTGAGAGAAAAACCTGAGGTTTGATGGTAAAAACGTGTTTTGTGTGTAAAACTACATATTTGGGGGATAAAAGAGTGGGATATGGGGGGTAAAAGTTGGGGTTTGGAGCCGAGGGGGCATCTTCGGGGCGTGCACTACACTCCCTGCAGCAGTGGCTGCTCGCACTGCAATGCACCGCACTGCAATGCGCACTCCGAGCTGGAAGCGCTGCACCGCAGTCAGGTTTGCACAGCCCTGCGGGAGAGATCGGCCCTCTGCAATGCCGGCAGCTGCACCCCTGCAATGCCGTACGCATCCTGCGCGCATCCTTGCAATGCCAGGCACTGCTACAGGCGCACACTCACGATCCTAAGCACCCCCGTTGGTGCACCCCCGCAGTGCCATGCATCCCCACACATGCACGCATGCGATGCCAGGCACACCCATAGGTGCGCCCTTGCAGTGCTGTGCACTCCCATAGATACACCCTTGCAATGCCATTCACCTCCACAGCTGCACCCTTTGCAATGACATACGCGTCCAGAGGTGCACCTTGCAACGCCGGGCACTCCCGTAGGCGCACCCTTGAAATACCACCCTACAGATGCACACTTACAATACCGTGAATCTTCATGGCTGCAACCTTGCAACGCCATGCAACCCCACCGCAGCACCCCAGCAGCACTGCGCACCCCCACAGCTCCACCCCTCCCTCCTCCCTCACATGCCCCCTGCACTGCGCATGCGCCCCATCACCCCCCTTGGAGCGGCGATAGGACCCCGCAGAGTCGCCCGGACTCCATGAATGGGGCCGTCGGAGTGGCGCGGGGGTATCACGTGACGGCGGGCGGCCAATCGCGGCGCAG